AAGAGAAAAATGAGGTCTACAAATGGCAAATTGAAGCTAAAGAGGGAAAAGAAAGTCCTACAACTGAATACCAGGTGCTGAAATATGCGTCAGATGTTTTGCAAAATTTCAAAACAAGAGTTGCCTCTGCTTAATGGTCTTGGAGTCATTTTCTTAATACTGCCTTGTAGACTGAAAAATAGTTCATGAGAGATTCTCCACACCGCAGTAAAAACAGACCTGATTTCTACTACTATGAGTCATCCTAAAAGCCATTCATATCTGTGACCCACAATCTCAAATCCTTCTATCAAATCCTTCTGCATAGAAACAGGATGCACTTTATGTATTGTACAGGTTTCTGATTGGGCAACTCAAGAACACCATTCTTAATTCCCAGAGTAATCTGAAATACAGCAAATTCAAATAATATCATTGTGTATTTAATTTTAGCCATTAAAAAGGGAATGTATTTAATATATGATATCTAGTAAAATACTAATTTTAGTATGAGCAAATGAAACTGAATATTCAATATCACAAAATGACTTGAGGGCATCATAAATCATTGATATATATTTTGGGGTCTTAAAATGATTTCTAAATACACATTTTTTAAACTATACCCCTTAATTCGTGTCCCCTGCCTCTTTCTCTATGAAAAAGCATCCTGTGGTACCGTCTTCTTCTAGCTCTTACTTGTGCCTTTAATTTATATATATTTGTCTCTGTAAGTGCATATGGCTGAATTTTCTTTCCACTTTTTTAAGAAAGAATTAGTTTATACAAGGAATTGGTAAAGAAAAGAAGACATATCACATTCAGTTAAAGGAGATGCACATGAGTGTGATCGACTATAAGAATCAATAAGGGATGGCATAGGAAACCAAGGCTATCAAAAACATTGAGCCCCTAGACAACACAGGTTATTATTGCTTTTGGTTCCTCACCATAACTACATCGTAAGACTCTATTGCTAATGGCATCACAGACTTTGGCTGCAGAATATAAAGGAATTAATATCAAACCAACTGGGAATCTCCTTCTCCTGCAACTCTGCTCCTGCTGGCTACCTTTCATAATGCCAGAAGGTAGTATACAGACTGCTGCTGGGGAGAACAGACATCAGTGATCTTACCCAGCACTGGGCCCTGTATGCTAAAATATTGGCCTACCAAACAAGATGTGCCCACTGGTGCAATAGTGGAAAAACTGTTATGGAATAACTGACCACTTCCTCATTAGATTTGAGGCCTGATACACAGGAGGAAATTTTGTGGTGGCTTCTGGAATCTTGGTCAAAAACCTACGGTTTGGGAGGCCACAGACCCTAGGGTAGAACCTGCTATTGTTATTTTGCTAAGTGGAAACACTGTCAAAGTACCTGTCAAATATTTATGTTCATACCAGTATACCTGGGCTACTCTCAACCTTGATCAGAGAAGCTTCTTTTCTGCAGTGAGATGAATTGAGTGCAGAAATGTATGATTGTTCAAAGTGCTAAGAATCAAAGATTGAGTGTTCAGCCCTAAATTGGATGTCTTTATCAATAACCCCACGCTGTCAAGGTTCAGGGAACATCACAGAAGTGGCAGAAAGAATATAAAAGCCGAAGGATGGGGGAAGTGATGTTAAGTCTATTTTCTGGACATGACATAATTGTCACACTCATGAACACACAGCTATTGTCTGCACATAACATGCACAAGATCAAGCCAGCCAAAATCCAGCACATATGGAGTTGTCTCCAGACCTTATTCCTTACTAAGGAGCTATTGGCAATTGATAGTTCCTAGGAGAAGGAGAATCATTCCTATCTGAAGGTATTCCTACTGGTACATTTCCCATGCTCCAGTGAATTGTTTCACATACCTATGTATATGGGCAGTACCAACTGGGCTTAGTAAATTATCAAAGAAGAAAGAAGACATAAAGTTGAGGAGACATGATG